TAAACGGTCCTCCTCCGAGTAACATTGCTCCAGCCTCTAATGGAGCCGCTGCTAATGTGGATGCTTCTCCGTTACCTGATGCGGCCAAGGACATTAGTCGATGGGGAGGAGCTAGCTTAGGCAGAGACTTTCCTACTCCAAAGGAGATTTGCAAATGGCTTGACAAGTTCGTCATTGGACAAAGCCGCGCTAAAAAGGTTCTGTCTTTTTTCACTTAACTTCATTATGTGTCTTGCTATCAATTTCTGTTTACTTACGAACATGGTGGTTATGACTTTGATATGTAGGTGCTCTCTGTCGCTGTGTATAACCATTATAAGAGAATATATCATACCTCAATGAAGAAAGGGTTGGTTCTCTGTCATTCATTGTTTTTATCCTTGTACTTGATTGAACGCATTATTACCGTTCAATCTGTTATGGTGTATTGGAAACTAACATGGTGGACATTGAATACTAGGTCAGCAGCACAACCAATTGATGATGACGATAATGTAGAATTAGATAAAAGCAATGTTCTCTTGATGGGTCCTACTGGCTCTGGTATGAACTTGTGTTATTATGATCTTATTCTATTCTTTTACTGCCTTTTTTGCATTCTTCCTGTTGAGTTTGACATGATCATTTATTCGATTCTTCAACAATAGGGAAGACATTACTCGCAAAGACTTTAGCGCGGCTTGTAAATGTTCCCTTTGTCATTGCTGATGCAACTACACTGACTCAGGTAAGGTTGTGATTTTCGATATTCATATCGGTTCATATGATTCTCAGTGTTTCAGCTATTGGATTGAAGATCTTTGTATAGTTTTTTTTTCCTCGGATCCAAATTAAACAGATCAGCCTCCTGAAATTAGGATTTCTTGTGTTGGTCTTTGATCCAGCTTTTGTATGGCATCTTTACAGGCTGGCTATGTTGGTGAAGATGTTGAATCAATCCTTCATAAGCTACTAACGGTACCATTACTTATTCAGTCGTGATTTTCACTCCCAGTGCACGTTCTGCGTTGTAGCCTTTTAGAAGATTTCCTTATGACTTGTAGGCTGCTGAGTTCAACGTGCAAGCAGCACAGCAGGGAATAGTCTACATTGATGAAGTTGATAAGATAACGAAGAAGGTCAGTATGCAAAAACATGAGAACTTCTGAACTCGATAAGAACAAGATAACTGGGATTTATGCTTCATAGATTCTCCATTCTGCAGGCCGAGAGTTTAAACCTTAGCCGGGATGTTTCTGGGGAAGGTGTCCAACAGGCACTTTTGAAATTACTTGAAGGCACGGTAAGTATATTGCTTTCTTACCCTTTGATGCATCTACTGGAATCATTGTTCACTAGACATGAGGCACTTACATAGCAAGTTTTAGTGTAGTCTGTAGAAGTGATCCTCATTAAAAGGTCTTCGTAATATACCACAGGAGAGAATGGAAAGGTTATTGATATGACATTTTATATATGCGACATCAGATAATTATTATTATTTCATTTACACACATCTGTGTTACTTCTGAGCCCTTTTCTCGCTAAGAAGAAGTTTCTGGATTAATGCTTTGCTCCTGTGTTGATCAATGGGTCTTCTTATTTTTTCCAGATCGTAAATGTTCCAGGAAAGGGAGCAAGGAAGCATCCACGGGGTGACCATATACAGGTTTAGAGCTAGAACTTTATCATTGACCTATAATTTGTATAGTTTTGTTACTTATATCGTTCCATTGCTGAATGTTATATGATGTATAGATAGACACAAAAGATATCCTCTTTATCTGTGGAGGAGCATTTGTTGACCTTGAGAAGACCATTGTGGATAGGTAAATTCATTATGATTCCTTATGTAGCAATACATTAGCCATTAGTGGTTCTGTTTGATTTTGATCATCATCTCTAATGTTTACCAGACGACAAGATTCGTCAATCGGTTTTGGAGCTCCTGTTCGTGCCAACATGGCTACCAGTGGAGTGACCAGTGGTGTAGTAACGTCATCTTTGCTAGAATCGGTATATACTAAAATATTTTTGATAAGCCTCTGTTTTCCTATGTAAATATTTCTCCCTGGAAAGAGATCTTAACTTTGGAATGATGTCTGCATTTCAGGTAGAGAGTGCCGATCTGACAGCATATGGCCTTATTCCGGAGTTTGTAGGGCGCTTTCCCATATTAGTTAGTTTGTCAGCTCTAACCGAAGACCAGCTTATTCGGGTAATTTAACATTTTTTATAGCTCGTAAATGTTTTACCATGTTGCTGGTAGTGCATTTCGTTGATTTGCTCACGTTACTGCTTCATCGCAGCTAGTGAAATCAAAGTGAGATCGTGGTTTCTATCATCAAGACCTTGATTTTCTTGACCTTCTCATATCTAAGGGTAGCTAATATATCCGGTGCTTTTTACCCTGCAGGTGCTTGTAGAACCCAAAAATGCTCTTGGGAAACAGTACAAGAAACTCTTTAGTATGAACAACGTAAGTTCCCTCAAACTACTCACTTGTCAAGACTTAGCTTTACACGTAAAAGCATTCAACTATAAAACTTAGAATTTTGGTCCCTAAACCTACATGATCTGTTGCAAAATTTCAGGTAAAGCTGCATTTTACTGAGAAAGCGCTAGGGCTTATTTCCAAACAAGCGATGGTGAAGAATACAGGTGCAAGGGGACTAAGAGCCTTACTTGAAACCATTCTAACCGAAGCCATGTTTGAGGTACTTCAGCTATAACACAAAGGTTGTTCAGCTACTATATAACTCTGTTGCCCTCACAATACTGTTTAATTTGTTCTATCAGATTCCAGATGCTAAGAAGGGAGATGAAAGAATTGACGCCGTTATTGTAGATGAGGAATCAACAGGCTCAGAAGCTTCTCGTGGATGCACAGCAAATATACTTAGAGGAGACGGGGCATTTGAGCGTTACCTCAGCGAGAACAAGTTGAAAGATGCTACAGAATCAACGGTATGATCATTGATCGAGATATAACTCATTATGGTTTGCAGTAATATAAGTGTCGTTTTTGGACCTATTGTTACTGTTTTGTGGTGGTAGATGTCAGACATTACTCTTTTGAAAGTCTGTTGAGTCGGATTTGGTTTCTTTACTAAGCGGCACTTGGGTATGATGATGATGATTGAAACCTGATGGGTGTTTTGCAGGTTGACGAAAGAGTAGGCTCGGCGAGAGCAATGAGATTGTAAAGAGAATGAGCGGTTTTAACATGAAGAGTTTCTAACTCTTTGATTATTTGTAAAGAACAACAGCATTCATAAAAGTGCAAGAGGATTGAATAATCCGTTTTGTACAATAAAGTGTTAGCTTACAGATTCGATATTTGAATTATTACATAGAAAGAAGAATAGGAGTGTATCTCAATGTGTAAAAACAACATCTGTAACTCTTTGCTTCAAATAACAAAGTGTTTTTTTTCTTCTTAGTTCATGTTATTCTCTATTCTCTTTCTTAACTCTGCGTGCAACCAAGCGCAGTAACCTCAAAGAATTGGTACTTTTAAGAATGTTGCAAATGCCAAAGCTTCCTTGAGCTTCCCTATAACCTTTCTCTCCATCAGTGACTACAAGCAGATTGAACCTGTCATGCATCATAGACAAAACCACTTGCTCTTTCTCCGCACTCGGGTTCCTGTAAAATATGAAACTCCCTTTCACCGCTCTGCTTTAGCGTCACAAAACTCTAAACGCCATTCCTCGCGTAAGCACCAAAGCAATTAAGCAAACCAGAAAAACCTTTCTTTTCAGACCATTCTTGTTCAGTATGTTCACAAGAATGTTGCCAAACTCAATCATTCACCAAACTGAAAACAGAGCACTCTGTAGCACCAATCAATCTGCTAATAATGCGAACGAATGTTAAAAATGTTTATATAATTGTGTGCTCGGTTAAACTGATGATTCGAAGGACTCGCAACAAGAGAATAAATTGTGTGCTCGGTTAAAGTGATGATTCGAAGAACTTGAAGTTGTAACAGCTTTGATTAGTTGCAGTCATAACTAGAATGAGACTGAATCAGTTCCGTTATCTCTCGTTTAATCATTTGATTCAATAACCGTTTAAGGCTTAAGCACATTGGTTACATAAAAAGTATATATACATAATACATTGAGAGTATCTTTTCAAATGATACTACTCTTTTTTGCCTTGTGAATCTTGGACCCAATCGAGAGAGCATATGCAGACTCCAGATTTGGAATTTGTTGCGCAAAGATGTTTAAAACGTACTATGATCTGTATGGGATCAACTGGGACCCCAACAACTCAAGTACATGACCGTCCGGAGCGATTCCTCCGCATGCTTCGCATTACCGGCTGTGGTGGTGGCGGCGGCGGAAGAGAACCTTTTGGTCTGAGAAATGGGTCTGACGTTATTCCGGAGATGCTGATTCATAGAACGGAGAACGTAGTTCCATCGACAAACGCCTAATTGGTCTTTCAATGCCTCCACGACTCCAATGGTCGCCGCCACGGTCCATGCCTTACTCGTAGAACTCATCTCAAAAAAAAAAGATCTTTGTTTTTGAGTTTTCTTTTTAGCTTTGAAGATTGTAAATTTGCAGATGAAAGAATGATGGGAATCGAAGGGTTGTATATATTATAAAAGAAGAGAAACAGACAAAACTGCCGCAAATGTGAAAAACCATGTTCCTTGAGCCGTTGGTTTTTTTATCGGTACGATGATACTTTGCAAAATTACCTTTTTGCCCCAGCTCGAACTACTCATTGTTAGTACAAACTATGCGAGGGGCAACATTACATATCCCGGATTTCCCACGGTTTCAGCTGGCTTCGCAACTGGTTTTGGGGTTTGGACCACGAGATCCCCGCACCTCCAAAACTGCCACAAAAACGGAAAAGATTATTACGTTTACGTACGTGTGTTTTTTAAGATTATTACGTACGTACGTGTGTTTTCTTAGATATATAAACGAAAAGATTAATTTCATGTTGAGATCTTAGTTTAGTAGTATAAATACTTTTGTATCATAAAACCATATTTTTATTTGCTAACCATAGTTGTCATGGCGGGTGAGAGGCAACTAGGCAACAGAGAGAGACTGCACGGTGCCACCGACGACGGTCACTAGAAGAAAACTGTAAATTAGCGTCGAAATTTAATATAGCGTCGAAATTGCGTCGAAATTGTGTCTAGTCTACATATTCGACGCTAATTAAGATCGAATTAATTCGACGCTAAATCGACGCTAATTAGCATCGAATTAGCGTCGAAATTCCTGAATTCGACGCTAAATCGATGCTAATGTTGCATCGATTTAGCGTCGATTACGTAGCGGCGAATATAGCGTCGAATTTGCCTCAAATTGTTAGGTAGGAGACTCATTAAAAACGAGTTTACATACCTGGGTGCAAAATCGACGCTAATTCGATGCAAAATCGACACTAAGGTATTCGACGCTAAATCGATGCTAAATATTCGATGCAAAATTGTTGCTAAATCGCTGCTAAATTCTCCTATATATTTCAACCCCCCGCATCGCTTGAATCAGTCCACCAATT